TGGTGTGCGAGCCATCTGGGCCAGGCCAAGACCAACAAACCGACTCTGCTGGACGTCGGATAATACGACTAGCGGCCGAAGTTGGATTTCTACTCCCATGCTGGGTAATGTGGCCTTGGCAATCTCAACTTCCTCAGATACCCGTTCCTCAAGAGTTCGAGGTCTGTAGCGGTCCAATAATTAACCGAGCGGATGACGGTTAATAGCAGGATCACGTTCAGCCCGGTTGGTGGAAGAAGCGTGAGACTCCGGCCAGCAGGTCACAGACCCAAGGTTTGCGGGCTTCTGTCATGATGCGACTCATCGACGGGACGGTGTCCGAAGTGCAGGCAGGATGAACAGGCTGCAATCGATGTGGGTGTGCGCCCCCTGTTCTAACTGCATTAGCGGCCCTGAGAAGTCGTCAAAGACTGGTTGACTCTGCAACTCTAATCTGTCGTCTAGAGATGCCAGTCCTCAAACTGTGATGAGTGTGTGTGCCTGGGCACGGTTGCCTGCCGCATCATAAACCCGTATTGGTGAGCGAGCACTTTGCTAATAGACCGTATACTTCGGTCGTCGTGGCGCCATATTCGGATCCAATCACGGCAGCAAGCGTCTCGAAAACTGTTATATTGGATGTCAAGCCGGACGCGAATGCATCGTGAGGATCCAGTTTGATAGAACTCATGGTCCTGTTATCCGACGACTAGGAGTTCTTCCTTCGCGACACATAACAGAAAGTCTAGGCCCGCTTGGATGGACTCGAGTCTATTGCAAAGTTCCCTTGGGTGCCAACTCCTGAAGGGCAGGTGGCCGGGATGCGGGGACGAGGCGAGCGGCGGTTGGCAAGGGGGTTCCGCTTAAGCGGCACCAAACGGTGCCGTTGGACGACCAATTCTGCGGACCTAATGCCCGGATGCATCGGCCCCCGGCAAACGGGGCTGCACCAAGGTACCAGGTCGTTGGCACGTTGGTTTGGCCCTAATGAATGCAGTATCGTATTCCTGCGTTGTTGGTGGCCGCCCGATCGAAGCATTGGCATTGAGGCAGTGCTGACTTCCCATCCACCTGCGCTTACAGAGTACCAGTGACGGAGATGATGATCGTAGACAGCAGCGTAGAGGATCCTTCATGTGAGCGTTACTTGAGCGCGTCGGTCCCGATGCGGCCGTCCAAGCTAAATAGCGGCGTTCTTGGGATATTGTTGTCGGTTGCCCTGACATCTTAGACGGATCGACTCGTTAGCCACTGGTAAAGCATGGTTGCCGAGGACTCCAAGGCTTGTCGCATGCATCTTGGCAGTTTGTCAACAACTCAAAAAGGTGGTGAATTGCACCTTTTATTGGAGACGAGCCAGGGGGTAGACTCGGCGCCGATCGACAACAGCGCCTTTGAAAGATCAAAATCCCGTCTTGCGACCAGACGGTGCGCAACTTCGTTATTGAGGGAGACGAGACTCTCCATGTCTGCTGCGACGCCATTTTCTAAATCCCGTGGGATTAGCGAAAGTCCAGCATAACTCTCCAGAAGCGAATCTGACTGTTTCGAGGATTGGAGATGGAATGCGAGATGGGCAGATCCGGACACCAGAACACCTGCTCGTCAGGCCATCGCATCGCCAACGGCCCCCTCAGGACCCTCCTTGCAAAGACACCCCGGGAAGCGCAGAAAGCCAACTCCAACAAAGTCCAGGATGGAAGCCTTCTACGGTCTACCACGCTCCTTCGCCTGTGAAATGGCGCATGGGCCGTGAGTCCGCGCAGATTGATCGTTTCCTTGGCTCGGAGGGCCAGTTTTGCAGAGGTAATCCCGAGGGTGTGCTTAAGCTTAATTCGACACTCCGTGTCATCACCACGCCATGTCGATGCATCATTCGTTCGACGCCCGCCGTAGGCTCCACAGCCTCAACTGTTATCCCCTGCTTGAGTCCGAAAGGGAGTGCTTCACCCGCGGTGGAGAAATTGCTTTGCCCGCGGCTTAATAAGGAGGGTTTTCCTGTCCAAGAAGAGCTCCCGGTTGGTCGCTGACGCGGCCTTCAGCAGGCACTGACGGCGTTAGGATTGTGAGGGATGGAGAAATCCGCACTAATTTGACGGCGGAGCGCTATCGATAGCGCCATCCTGGATACCTCGTGGCGTGGCATGCGGGCCGGCAAAATCGGATAAAGCACTTTAAGAGGTCGTTCGTATCCTTCATGTTGGTGTGAATGTACGGCACGGAGCCAATATCTGAGTGATTACGGCGAAACTAGTGCTGCACAGAGTCTTATGCCCCCCGTTCTCACGGCCGGATTGTGGGGATGAACGGACTCCAGCCAGCGGGTTTATCCAAGGGCCTGATCAAGGTTATGGTTGATAAGCAATAAGGTGCCGGATTCGATTGCCGCGGATGAGGACACCTCGTCATTCCCCAGTCTGAAGGTCCTGCAACAGGCGAAGCTTTCTGCTGATCTCGTCGTCTTGTCGGGTGCCGGGTGGGCTCCAACGTCCAGGAAGCGTGCCGCAAGTGCGGAACTTCGGAAGACGGAATAGAGGTCTGCTGCTTCCGAAGGGGAGCAAGAGAGTGAATCGTTTGTAGGCGGTGGAGACGGCCCAGAAACATTGCATGAATTGATGTCATGTCAGTGGATAATTCGCGATGCACGGTTTCCAATCAAGTCACTATCACCGACTCTGGCCGTGAGCCGTACACGGATGGTGACACCGTGTCAGGTGGGTGTGCGGCGGCCTGCTCCGTTCGCCAAAACCTTCCACAGCCGGGGACCGGGTGCCGCTCCGCGCACTGCCTTCGGCGTTCGCTTTGGAACTGCTGCCCGATCCAAGATACGCGCCGACGTAGTTGGACAACTTGCGCTTGCTGCCAAGCATATTCCAAGGTCCTTGGCAGATTTGGCGTGAGCATGTTTAATTCAAAGCGGCGGCTTGTCCTCAAAATCATTGCCACTTTAAGGTGTTTAGGGGCCGAAAGAGTTGGACCAAGAGGGGCTCATCCCTTGGCGAGAGATGCGCTTGGTGTGGCACTGGCAATTCAGGTCTCACTGCCATGTCCAGTGTGTTGACGTTTCGTTTGAGGATTCGTACGTCGCGGCTGATCTTCGTCCTGTATTGTGTTGCCGTTGTGCCGTTGTGCCGTAATTCCTTTGTGCCGAAAATCCGGACGTTTAATCAAAAGCTCAATCAAACTCTGGTTAGCCTGGGTGACGACGACGCAAGCTGCCCCGTGCCGGGAGATCGCTGTGGGTTTAAGCTTTTCTCTGGAAACCAAATGGGACGGATGCGATGACTTGGTCTGTGGCTGTGGAAATCGCTGATACCGTATTCGCGCACCCGCATGACATTCCAGACGGTAGTATCGTTCAGTTGGCATCGACATTGTCTCCAGACTGTCGGAAATCCGGCGGCGACCTCGTCACCGATGCGAGCAAGTACTGCGCCCTGATCGCGGCTCCCCAAATCCTTGCCTACAAGGCCGCCGTTGCAGTTGGATGTTGTGTACCTCTGTCGAGAAGTCGAAATTCTGCGAAGAAGTAACTTCGATTCTGATGCTCCGCTACTGCTGGATGAGATTGGGCATGTTGTATAGTCCCGACTGGCAACAAGGTTCCAGTCAAAGAAAGTGACTTGTTGAAACGATCGTGTGTCGAGCAACCCGGTATTGCGACACTGAATACTGTAGACAAAGTCCTGGCAATGACAACGCCATTGATGTTAAGCTTGTTTACCATGAGTTAAGCCGCGCTCACTGCCTCGTTGTAACTTCTCGCCACTGATAGGTCCTCCTGCTGCTGCTGGCGTTATCGTCATGGTGCAAGTAGCAGTGTAAGTAGTAGCCGACGTAGGAGCATCGATTCTGAAAAGTCAGTTGCTGTAAGCTACCCTCGGGCTTTGTAGGATTTGAGTAAAACTTCCTTTCCGAGTGAAGGCCGTTGGAGCGACGAAACAATACCAACCCGAGTGTTTCTTCGAAAGCGTTGCAGCCTTTCAATGCAGGCGCCGAGGTACAATATGTCTCTCCTAATGAAACGAGGACATCTTTTGATCAGGTTGTCGACAATTTCGACAGTCTGCTTTGTTGCCATCGTCGAAAGTATGACGCCTATGGATAGCTCAAAAGGCAGAACGGCATCCCATTGTAGGCATCAACCTTTAGGCAAAGAGAGAGAGCTATCCCTATTCTCAGAGTGCAGTAGTAGTCGATGGCCGCTGAGTTCCGCTAAGGAAAGCCTGCTCATTGATCATTGTGCAATCGAATGTCGGCCGTGTCACGACAATCTCGCATGTGGTTGGTTGCCGACGAGTCGACGTCTGAATATCGACGCGCAGATTGCTCGTGACTCGTGCTTACCCTATTTGTCTGGGCACCTGCGAAGTCCTGATTGAAAAGTGGTGAATGAATGTTTTGGTCAGCGGAAGGAATCGAGACATCCATTGGTGTATTGTAAAGGCACAAAGTAATGGTACAGGGTCTTGTCCCAGATGATGTTGTACAAGACGGTCTCTTTGGTAAGAGAGACCGTGAGCAGTGAATTTGCCTGAAGGCGAAAGCCATATCATTGACCTCTTCTCTGACGAGACTGACTGTCCCAATATTTCGAGGTGTAGTCGTCTAGAACCGAGCCACAATGCGTGGAAAGAAATTTTTTCTTTCCTGGCGGTCAACAATGTCGTCGCTGAGATGACAGTCTCAGACGCAGCAGGTGAACACCATCTCCCGTCTGTCGTAAAACCTCGCGTAATTATCCCGTAGACTTTTGAATCTGTCATCTGCAAGCCACCGGGGGATAAGACATGGAAATGAGCGCCCAGTTTTCGGGCGACGCCTTGATGGGGACGCTGCATGTGTACCACACCCACGAGGTGACTCAGGGTTGGACTCAGCGATGGATGTAGCACACGGCGGTCGATCGCTGTGTAACTGCACGCCGAGTTTGTTTCATTGAGCCGGCTTCCAGAATCCAAGCTAGGCAAAGCTTAACGAAGCGCCGTTCCAAGAAACAGCCTGCATTCGCAACAGCGGGTTTAGCAGTCGCACCGACCAAACCAGCGTGGGAAAGCCACCACGTCTCTGACGTTTGGAACGCCCACGAGGTAGCTTAGAAGTCTGTCGAAGCCCAAACCGAACCCTCCATGTGGGTTGGAACCCCAACGGCGGAGGTCAACATACCAATCCAGATTACCGGCGGTGTTGGGTGCTTGTTTGCCGGATGGGGGGCCCATACCACGAGCCTCCATGGTTTCCAATAGCTCTGTCAAGCGATGCTCACGCATGGAACCGCCCGCAATCTCGCATAAGTCAGGCACCAGCAAGTCGAAGCAGTCGACTGTAGCACCGGCTGGGTCGAAGCTACCGCCCGGTGTTGCTGATCTCCGCATGTAGAAGGCTTTGATCTCGCGAGGGTAATGGGTGACGAAGACAGGCATGTACGCCCCGGCCTCATCGGTAGCACCCAAGGTTTTGGCGAGGAACTTCTCGTGTTCCGAATGCAGGCCTCCCTCCCAGGTTGGTTTGAGCTCGAATCGGTCTTCCTCTGCTTGGAGGAGTTTGATCGCGTCGGTATAGGTGATGCGCGGCCACCTTGAAGCTGGGTTTTGCATCATTCCTGACCATCGGCGCTCCACCTCTTCTATCGAGACCAGGTCGTCCTCGGCGGTGCGTGTTTGACCAGGAGGCCGCCGTTCACGCAGCTCCTGAGCAGCTCGTGTGCCGTGCAAGCCCGTGACGAGTCCGCGCAGCATATCCTCCACCAGATCCATGACCTCGTCAAGCTCGTCGACAAAGCTCATTTCGGCTTCCAGCATGTAGAACTCGCTCATGTGCCGAGTAGTATCGCTTTGCTCTGCCCTGAACGTTGGAGAGAGCGTCCACACATGGCCAAGTGACTGAGCCAATGCCTCGAGGTGGAGTTGGGAAGAGACGGTGAGATACTTGGGCGAACGGAAGAACAACTCAGGCTTCTTTCTGCTTTCGTTGCCCGCGGATGATGTCTCGGCTGGACCTGTAGTGACATTGAAAACTTCGCCGGCCCCCTCACAATCAGAGGACGTAATGATAGGCGGGTGCGTCTGAACAAAGTCTCGAGAGGCGAAGAATTGAGTCAACGTCGCGACTGCCTCTGATCTTAGGCGCAGAATGTTGGCGTTGAGTGGAATCCTTGGTCGAAGGTGCGGCATTGTGCGGAGGAATTCCGGAGTCTGGTACTTTTTCTGTATGGGAAATGTCTGTCGAACAAACAAGATTAGAATCATACGATGAGTTCCAATAAGTTCAACGTTCAATGACACACCTTGGCATCAGAAGGGCCGAGCACCTGGACATGGTCGACTTTCAACTCGTGACTCTGACCCTCAGTCTTGGAGGGTATCCACGAGCCCTGTAGGCGGACTGCAGCACCGACTCGCAGACTTGAGCTACTCGACAATGAACAATCAGCGCTTCCGAGACACAGAAAGAGTGGGCATAGCTGAGGCCGCTCACCTTTCATCTTGGCTTCTCGATACCATGGCCTGAAGGGGCTTCCGTGTTGATCCATCTCCAACGTTGACGAACTGTTCTGTTTTCATGTTCCTGACAGACCGAACGTATCCGTTGACGACGACATCTTTGACTTCAGCTTCTGGTTTCCAGTCAAGGTACTGAGCAACTGTACGGCGTGGTCCTGTTGAGACCTGTCGTCTATGGAGAGCGGTTGTAGGTGACAGGAATCTCTCAAGCTGGCGCGGGGCCGTTGGGGCGAGATATCTTCTCATTTTGGACGACGAAAGCGATCACCTGATCATTGCATGGGTATCTCAAAGACTTGAAATGACTTTCGGCTGGATTATGCTGCCAACACCAGTCGGGAGGTTCGCGTAGAGAGTGGTGTGGTGTTCGCGACGAAAGTGTGGAAGGTCGCGGTGACATACGAATCCTCAAAAAAACAGCTGCATCATGCTCATGCTCCAATTGGAAGCTCCAATCGGGCATCAAGTGGAGACCTTCCCTGCCTGAGTCAGCGGGATGGGATAAGATAAGAAGGCGCGTCGTTGCAAGATAAGATAAGACAGCTTACCTCAGTCAGCAGCACCTTAGGTAAGGCAGGTAGGTACCTTCCTTCGCCTTTCCTTATCGCTTCCTTCCCGACTCACATATTCTGACCTGTCCTGACCACAAACAACATCCTCTCTTCACCTCCTACACTGCTGTTCTCTTCCTCGCGTCAACAAACGGTTCAATGGCGAAGAGAAGCGATCAATGGAATGCGCAAACATGGACGGTCCCAGGCCAGGTTTGCGGACCGACTTCACGACCAGTTGCAAGCGCCCGGCCCAAGTGGATGCAGCTCCGGGCTCAGCTGAGCCGGTCCTCGACTCCCGAGACACCAAACACCGGCGACGGGTGACGACTTCGGGATAATGCAGCCCTTGATTCTCAATCCCAGGACGTGGTCTTGGGATCAGAGCATTTTCTGGGGCCCGATGCTGTCCTCTCATCTCAATCCCATGCCCGAGGCCGCCAGATCCAATGACACGCTAGTCGATGCAGCACGGGACGGATCATGAGTTACATGACAAACATTGTCGAATTACAGACTATCAAGTGCGCATCATCATGTTCACTATCTTTCCCAAATCGGTCAACTATCCGAACAAGGGTCTTGGGACGTCGTTCCCGTCTTGCCTCACTCTCTTCACCTCCACTCTCTTCTTCATTGTGTCAGTCAACCCCTGCCAGAGCCGCTCCCTAGTGGAGATCCAAGAACCATGAAGCTGGGTTTTTTCTTGCTTCTTCCAAGCACATGTTGTTGCTTATTATCGCAAACAACACGGTCAGCCCTCGCTTTCTCTTCTCCCTAACCCGCCTGCACAATGACCCTGCTTTGGCCTCGAGTCCCCTACTTACGTTAGCTTCCGTCCGCCCTCCCATGTTTCCCTCCTCGGCCAACGTGTCTGACTCTAGTCGCACTGCTTGTCCCCAATACTCTTCCCCCCCGGCTCGCAAGAACGCCTCAAGTGAGATCTTGGGAGACAGGAAGATCTCGTATAACTGCGGCAGATTGCAGTAGTATCTCGATCGGATTCCACCAACCAAGACCACGGGAAGCTAGATGTAGCACGACCCGGGTTTCTGTATAAGCAAGACACATCTCATCACAACCACCCGCGAACCCACCCATTCTTTACGCGCCCTTCCTATACACTATCCTGGAATGTCGCAGACCTGACTGAGATCCGGCAAGTATTGGTTACACTCCCCTCCTTCATCCTTCACCGCTCTCGCTTGCTTGTGAGGCGAACCAGCATCTTCTGCGAACGGCACTCTTGAGATGTATGCCAGTTGTTTCTTTTTTTCCCCTTCCCGTCCACGTCGGCGCCGCTCGACGCGGGATGGGCTTTGTCAACGCTGCGTTATCTCTTCACATCGGAAGAAGATACTTAAAGACGGCCATCCAACCCGTATCAAGCCACTTCCCATCCCTCATCACCAAGCTTCTTCCTCCCATCTTCCATCAGAAGCATCAACTTACTCCTTCGTTCTCTACAAACCTCTCTCGTGTGTTCTTTGGACCAATCCTACGCGCACAAGATGCCGTCTTCAAAACCTTTGAAGATCAAGCCCTCGGAGGTGGCCGCTGACACCAAGAAGAAGCTGATTCCAGAAGTCAACAAGCACTTCCACGAAGAATGGCCTCCGTACTCCTACCTCTATGCGCAGCCCTTGCAACAACTCCCGATCAGCCGCCCGAGCTTCATGAGCTCGGATCTTCCCAGATTCTGTACGTCCAACTGTCGTATCAAGATATGCATAAGCTGACGCCTCTAGATGTCGTGCACGGAGATCCGGTCGATTGCGCCATTGGTTGGGCTCAAAGTGAGGGAGTGCGCATTCCCTTCATCTGTGCCGCGAACGAGAAGCGTCCCGGAGGAGACTGGGAGACTGGTGTCGTTGGATATGAGGTACGGCAGCATTGGCACGAATGTGTTGGCAACATGGCATTAATGGATGTGGTGTAGGAGCGGCTGTGTCGTCGAAGCAACCTCTCGTGGACCCTGGGCAACCCTGCTCCGGAGACATACATGTCGTCCAACTATCCCATACCGATGGAGGGAGCGATCTATTCCCCGGATGTTGGTAAGCACCCCTTCTCCAAATCCGTGGTTCTGGCTCACGCGCTAACTTCCCGTCCTTAAGTCCGGTTCCGCCAGTTTCAAGACAGAATCGAGTCACTCGAGATGAAGGATTGGAGGTCTTTTCCAGTCATTTCCATGCCGCCGGCCCGATGGCCCAAGCTCACTGACATGGGAAGAAAGTACTCCTTTGCAGAGGAGCGGGAGATGGTCAGGAACAAGATGCGGGCGGCCTTGCGCATCTGCGTCTACAATGGATATCAACACGTTGTCATCGGTGATTTTGGTCTTGGCAATGGCTACCGCAACCCGCCCAAGGAGCTGGCGGAACTGTGGCGAGAAGTCTTCCTCTACGATCCGGAATTAAGAGGACAGTTCTCTGCTGTCATGTTTGCCTTCGAGGACGACAGACAATGCACGGCCAAGTGCATTCTCGACGATATCGCCAAGAAGTCAAAGGGGAGTAGCAGCAGCTCGTCGAAAAGCAAGTCCAAGAGCAGCGGTTCGTCATCGTCATCCAGCTCCAGCAGCAGCTCTTCCAGTCACAAGAGCGATTTCAAGATCTTCAGCGACATTTTTGCTGAACACGAGATCGCAAGAGTGCGAAGCCAACCCGACCCGCGCTACGCCTTCTCCGCCATCATGGACGGTTCTTGACCGACACGTTCTTGGCGCATCATTGACGGGCTACCTGTCTCAGTCGGGGGAGCACTCAACATGAATCAGTGAGACCGGGACGTACGTCAGGCTGGCTGAGGCGGCGCATCCTGGGAGGAGAGATTTGTCTTTCGGCGCAACTTGTCATGTCTTCACAAAAGGCCACAAACAAAGGGTGTTTGTGTCTTGCAACCCATGCATCCGTACGCCATCGGGCAGTCGGTACCCTGTCCGGGACTTCCTATTGGCTCGCAACCCCCGGGAAGGGAGCTGAATTCTGCATTATTTGGTCAGCTTCTCAGTCTAGCGGCCCACGCTCTTTTCTTTTTCTTCACCCTACACACGCCGGGCTGAGGCTCCTTTCGATCTCTAGGGACCCCAGATCTACAACGTCGGGCGTCAACAGCGAATTCCTGACCGTTCTGTTGGGCGGATGTCATGGTTCTCTTTGGATGTTTTGCTTTTCTTTCCGAGTCTTCACGGGAGCCTAGTTCATACCTTGGTGGGCATTGTTTGCGGATAGACTCGCGGCAGGCGGCGTTCTGGCTGGCTGTGAGGCCTGGTAAGGGTCTAGGTAATTCAGGTCAAGGTGTGCCGGGAACTTTGGACGGCGTTTGGTCATTTTACAGGTCGAATCTATTCCCCTCGCAGTCTGAATCTGGACACATTTCTCAAGCACTTCAAGCATTCCATCATTCTTACATCGTCCCAAGAACAGCAGCGTTTGAATTCGCAATGAGGCTGTTGAACGCAGGGAGAAAACATCGTCCCTCAAGCCTCGCAACATGCGCGGAGTCGGTCACGGCCCCTGCAGCCCGCCTCATTTTCGTCAGGATATGTCAAATCAGTCAGTGACACAGCTGCGCTTTCCTGGCCGGCGTCCTCGACTCTAGGCAGTTCCTCCCCAAGACCAACGCAACATTACCACGCCGAGAGTTGCAAGCCTCATACCGGACATGTTGTCATCATGCGATTTTAACTTCAGTTATCTAACCATGAAGCCTTCCGTGAGCGCCTTGCGGCGGCCTCACTCGTCATTCTCAGCTATCTCTTGTTAAGAGACTGCCCTAGCGTCAACGGCAGACTCGGAATCCGCGGTGGTGGAATGGAACTGCAGGTCAGTCTGTCTCCCCCTCTTCGTATTCAGACTGTCCCACACTGCGCGGAGCTGCCCACACGTGCTGCAGCGGGACTTCAGATCGAGAAAAAAGCAACCGCATAGCCTTGTTCGCAAGTCATAGGCTGCAATTTCCTATCAAGGGCAGTTCTCGGGAGGGAGAAGAAAGCATTTCGCGCGAGTCTCTTCATTCGTCATTCGGCAATAATCAGCGACGGGAAGTGGTCCGGTGCAGATTGACGGGCACGGGGGGGCTCGGCGATCAGGAGTGATCTTCGACAGGGTTTGTCTGTCTTAACGAGGCATCGCATGCTTGCTTTTTCTCGGGAGCTGACATGATTTTAGGCGCAAACAATGGTCCTTTGATATCCTCGTCATAACCCCATGGCAAGACTCGGCACAAACAGCGACAAGCCCCCAAAATCTAAGTAGCTCACCCCTGTTCCCCAGGCCAGATCTTGACCAGGGACGTGCGATCATCTCGATGCTGAGGGTATCACTGGTTCTACTCTGCCGCCCCCACCCACTTCCCAACATCACCGGCTCGGAGTTTTGCATGACTAGAGGGACACCCAGGCGGAAGGCTCGCGACTACGAAGAGATGACCGTCGGTTCTCAGTCCTTTCGGCCTGAAGGCTGGCTGCTGCGAAGCATCTGTGTGACGGCCCCACGGCTGAGACACGGAAACCTGACTACGGCCTTTAGGGGGCGGGAAATCCGAGGTTCGTCGAGGCTTCCTTGAACCATTCCAGCTTCTGAGAAACGAGCAAAAGCAGCCCAGTATCCCGAGTCCATGGTTAGGATGTCAAGGGGAACGAAAAGGGCGGATTGCGGGTAAAAAGAGGGAATATTTTTCGACCCCTGAACTGGGGCTGGCGCCACTCGAGCCCGACCACGCGGAACCGGAGAGGGCATCACCATCCAGACGACTGTCTCGCCAGGCCCTTGCATGGTTCATCCAATCATGCTAGTCGCGGCATCTCTGAGCCAACTCCCTTCTCGTTCCCCGGTGTGGTCGGTACACATAGACGCCCATACGTACACGCCGGCCATACCCGCACCCGCGGGCAGGGCGGTGCGAAGTGAAGATGCGTGAGACAACTCGCGAGGACCATCTCTTTAGGGAGATCGTGGGCATCATACCGCTCTTCTTTCGGGAGGGCGTGTTACCTATCTGTTGAAAGGCCACTGTTGCTTTTTCGCATTCGTGATCCGGCCTCTTCTTGGAGTTTGGTCCCGGTTAAGCTTGCGATCGCCCAGTATGCTAGTCGTCTCCTACGGCGAGATTCGACGCGGTTCATCCCATGTGCGGCTCCTACCGTTTTTCCCGTTGGCTTCAACGCCACCTTTTGCTCAAGGATCCCGTCCCGGCCGTGTAACGGCCCAACGGATGTTGACATGCGACGAGACGGGAAGCTGCCGTTGGGCGCAAATCGAGGTCACCTCATATGAAACCCTTTCTCTCGAGCGGAAATCTTCCCCGGACACGCCCAAAACCCACGGGCATTCTCACGCGGAAAACGTCTCCGCTGCTCACCGCCCTCGACAGGATACCAAAGCAGCATGCCGTGAGCGAAACTCCACCCACCCGGCCGCCGTGAGAGTTTCCTCCTTTGGCATGCTGTAGCGACAGGGCAAAAGAAAAAGCACGCCGTCCACGGCCTCTCGTCCGGGACGCCGATCCCGCCCTACGACGGCGTTCCAGGTCGTTGAGACAACGCCCGAGGCCTTGTCCGCCTCACAGGGAACCCCGACAAAGCCCCCCTCCCCTCGCGAGCGAAAAGCAAAACGCACCGATCTACATCAGGGATTCACCGCAGCAGCAACAAACCCCACACCCCTCCTCGCCCATCCTGCCGGTCAAAGACCTGCTATCCGACTGACGGGAAAAGGCCTGGGCGTCGATCATCGCATACCGACCGCCTTCCAGATCATGCACATCATCATCAACGACCCCCCACCACCACCCTTCAACCGCGGGCGGTGCCTTGGATTCGGGAAACGGGGCGACGGCGATGATGATGATGATGGCGTGAGGGTGAGGGTTTGGGCGGTAGGCTGCATGTTTCAGCGCCCTGGGTTCAAGCACGACCACTCATCTCTCGCCTGATTACACGGAAAGGGCCTCGGCGGCGGTCGTGTACGATCACCCGCGTTGGGAAATGTACGGATACCCAACCCGGCACACAGCAAGCAAGCAGGCCAGCCCAAGTCTAATGCAGAGGAATGAACGGGCGGGAAGAAAACAAAACAATGGGAGGCGGACGGGGGTGGCAGGGGACGAACGCAATGCGATTGTTTCTCCTGTTGTACGCCCACAAGTTGTCTCAGCCAGAGGACATCCCATGCGCGACATCACCGCGCCCCCAAGAAAAAAACGAAAAATGGAGAAAAAAAAGAGAGCTCTCACCGGCGGAAACAATCGATGCCGTAATTAGTCCCCATAGCGCGCGAAAGCTTGGCCGAACGGTAGGATCCGTGGTTCACCTGAAATGTTTCTCTATCCCGATGCCTCGTCGCCGGCGCGCGTTCGCTAGCTAAGTCGGGGTCGGGGGTGGTGGTGGTCTCAGTCCGTCCATATCTTTGGTAGGCCCGCCCAGTGTTTTCTTTGAGTCGTATATCAGATATCACATCTCATAATCTCACTTGATCAGAATTCCCGACGGATTGGTGTGTGTGTTTTTCATCATCTTTCCTTGGTTTTTTCTGGTTCGGAGGGAGACGAGAGACGCTGACTACCTACCTAGGCAGCTCTGTTCTTTTTCCGTCAGATGACAGGTTTCTGCCCACACGCCCCATCCTGCGATGGAGACCTGGCCCCCCTTTCCCAACCCTGTTGACACTTGGGGGCCGAGAGAGATCGGTGTCTCTCGACTACATTCGCCGTTCTTGGGGGATGTTTGAGGTCGGCGGTTTATTGAGAGACGGCGGCGTCATTCACTGCCTCAGCAGACGGACGTTGGGGACGCAGGCCCAAGTTAGAAAGTATCTGGGTCCCCTGGTGAGAGTTTGATAAGTGCATTTTTTTCAAATCTTGTCATGCTGTGATGATCTTCGGACCGGCATCACACCGCTGGGGAAACAGAAAACATGGGTTCGAGGCGAGTCTTGCAGTACGTCAGTTAAGTCATCTTGGCTCGAATTCCAAGCCGCTGGGACGGAACATATGCAAAGCAGCTTTGGAAATAGATTTGCAGAGAAGACGTCAGAAACGATGACCCGCCCCAACACCTAGAAGTCTCAAGTTTTTGTTGTGCTCGTCGGCAAGCCATCAGTCGACGAGCCCATATGTTTCTTGAGTTGGTCACTCACCGCTTCCTGGGCAGTTCGCATTGGTAGTCACAAAACAATAGCGTGAGACAAACGATACGTGGAGAGTTGGCGCGCGTGATGGCGGCCTTCGCCACTTCGTGACCGCGGCGGCGTACTAACGCCGAGTCATCCAAGAAGCTCAGCCGCGATGTTTCTTGGTTGTGCGTTGACCAGAATTGCCCGGGCACATTTGTTCTGTCACGCTTCTGGCGCGATCAATCACCCGCCGCTGCCCTCTGCGGCTCTCAGAAGGGCGTAGAGATGCTTCACGTTTTGGAAGACCCGAGTGGGGGATGTAGATCGGTCAGCACAAGCTGGAGGTATTCCTTTACTATTGTTTTTTTCGATCCCCGCCGACACCAAATGTATATGCAGTTTCTGAAGACGCTCGAACATCAAAAAATCCCACACCGACACTCCGCTTTCGCCCTTCTCGCCCTTTCACTACCAGTAATTAGGCCTCAGGCCGGCGAAGCCCGCCAGGGCGTTGGCGTCCGTCAACGGGTCGTCTCTCTTCCTCTGGCCGGACAGCTACGTGATCGGTTAGCGACGAATTCATAAAATCGTGGGTGAGAAGGGGAAGGAATCATACCTCGAGCTGAACACTCCTGTGAAGGTGCACGAGCCAGTCGACGTAGCTCTGGGCCTCGTTGTTCCTGTCCTCGACCAGCATGCGCGCGAACTCGTACTCGGCGCCGTCGATGCCCTGTCTCGCGAGCTGGATGCCCAAGCCCTTGGAGCCGCGCATCGTCTTGAGGAACTCGACGATGTTGCGGACCTGGGCGTTCAGATGCGTCTGGAGCAGCGGCAGCGACGAGGTGTAGGCGTCGAGGCTCTGCAGGGTGGTCTTGTCCTCGCCGAAGAGGTCGGCGATGAGGTTCGGCGACGTCTGCGCGTGGAACCAGAGCAGGCACTGCTGGCCGTTGTCGACGAGGTAGACGCCGCCGGGCTCCACGCGGGAGAAGGACGTCCGGATCGCGGGGGGCACCTTCAGGTGGCCCGACTCGTCGGGGAAGCCGTCTTCGGGGGCGAGGTTGTGGAGGGGAATCATGCGGGGGTACAGGTACAGGCTGAGCTCCATGGCGCCCATGGAGCGGATCATGCGCATCTCGTGTACTCTGCGGTCGGAGCTCTCGTTGCCGCCCTTGAAGGCGCGGCACTTGATGAGGCCGAGCATGTACATGGACAACTCCTTAAGCCTCTCTGGCATGACCAGCTGGCCATCTGGTTGGGCTGCGGTAAGGAAGTTCTTGCGGTAGCAAGAGAGGATGTCGATTGTCCTCTCGGTGAGGTGGTTACGGACATCCTTCAGACTCGCCGAGGTCGTGGCCAGTTTTGTGCTTGCCTCCTTGGCAAGGATGGCAACCACGGCATCTTGGTCAGTGAACTTGACGGAGTCTCGCGGGTTGTCGCAGACACTCGCGATGATGTTGGAGCAGCGTACCCTGCGCTGGCCGGATGCTGTGGTGTAGAGCAGCGCAGACTGGAAGTGCGCATCGAGCTTCGAGTCGAGCTTGCCGTCGTAGGAAAATGTGACGCCCATGGCCTTGTCGGCATCGATGACACCGATTTCGAGGTCGGCGCCAAATGTGTGGTGAATGAAATTGCCGTGGTAGCCGTTGATCTGCAGTCCGTTTGAGCAGCGCACCTTCATCAGTGCCTGGAAGCCGGTTTGGCGCGTTACTGCGTGCTTGATCTCCATTGACAACTTGGTGTTATCGCGAGCGCCGATGAAGTTCGGGTAGTAGAAAGTTTCACCGCCTGTTGAGGCGGCGACGTGACCAACGGTTGCGATGTCGAGGTACCCACCAGACGGGGAAGCCAGGAAGAAGTCGGCGCCGATGCCGCTGGCGACCATCTTCTCTGCGACCTTCTTCCACGCCGGATGCTCGGTGGAGAATAGCTTCTTGTCGATCTCACCGCCGGGGTGCTTCCCGTCGTCTCTCAAGAACAGGCGGCCCGGGCCCCATGTGGGAAGTGCAGCAAGAGAGCAAACGATCTTTCCTCCCGTCTTCTCCAAGGCAGCGACAGCCGAGTTAAGGGTGGCGAGCAATGCAGGTTCAGGGTTCTTGATGTTGGAGAACATGGTGGGCAGCATGGTGAGCAAGGACATGATAACATCCCTAAGCCTGTTAGTCACACGCAACGATATACGAAATTCGTTGGCCTTACTTGGATTCATAGGGGTCAACGAAGAGGCCGTCGCTCAGGGGAACAAAGGGGTCCTCGAGATCCGGCATGATCATCATTTGAGCTTGGTCCAGAGAAGGCTACGTCTGTCAGTCACTGACCTTTGGACCGAGAATGAGCAAAGAGCAACTTACGTTGACATTGTAGAAGTGAATATCCTTGTCGTACGTCACGAATCCGACCTTTGAGCCCTCGGGGATTATGCGCTTGGGTTCGCCATTCTCATCACGCTCGGCGTCCTCGCCACCGTACAGCGCGGCAAGAATACCTTCGCAGAAGGACTCGATAAAACCCTTGTTGAAGGACTCCTGGGTGACATCAATCACAAACAGCCAGCGCAGGCCTGTAGGCTCCTTGGTCCAGTACTCCTTTGGCACAACGAACTCGACCGTGCCCCTCGTAAGCTCAGGTCGTTGATCGCGATCTACTCTTACGCCCTGGGGAGTGAGGGCAGAGAAGTATTCGGAGGGCGTCTCGTTGGGATATGTGCAGAGGTTGCAGACAAACTTGTTGCCGCCAGATCGGAACATCATGAATGGGTTGATGTAAGCTCTGCATCGGCGACACCTCGGGGGACCAGCATCACCAAAGTCGAGCACAGGAATTTCGAGCTCGCCGGGCTGCAGGGGTGCCAACGGTTGCAGTAGCAATCCCATCGGCAGACCGGTCAGAGCGAGGCCTTCGGCATTCGCGGGAATGCTGTTCAACGTCAAGCGCGCATATTTGGGCGAGGCATTGCCTTGGTCGTACGCAACGTAGGAAACCGTAGCTGGGGGCGGCAGGTGTTTCTCAAAGGTAGGGTACACATTCGAGAAGTAGTGTTGTTGGAGGGAATCGCGGGAAACGGGAACACTCGGGAGGTCGTCGAGGGAGAGCTTCTGGTGGCCGCCGGTTTGGACCACGGCGGGCGGTCCCGCGGCATCGGCGCCGTTCCGCGTCGCAAATTCGGCCTGGGATGCGGGGTTCGCGGGCGAGAAGGTCTGGCCAGCAGCAGCCGGGAACTGGTTCATCGCCGGGGTGATCTGGGGGTTGAAGTACTGAGCCTGGGACGGGTCGGCATTGAGGAAGCTAGTAGCGGGGGTGCCGGCGGGAGGGATTCCGTTGAAGGCTTGCGAGGAGCCCGTCGCCTCGACCTGGTGATACGCGTGGCGATCCTTCTTCTTCTTCCTGAGGGTGCTGTGACCATCCCCGAGAGACATGCCGCCCATTTGTGCCGCTAGGTTCTCCTGGGATTGGAAGCCCGGGCTCTGCGCATACGGTTGACCTTGAGGAGCACCATAGGGAGAGCCCTGAGGAGGCGCGGAGCCGGCCATGGGTGGTTGGCCGCCATAGTATTGTTGTCCCGGGGGAGGGGCTCCGTATGCAGCTCCCTGCTGGTATTGAGGCTGCCCCGCGATGGGAGGGGAGAACTGGGGAGGTGCGGGCTGCGTCGATCGGTTGGGGTTCGAGGGATCCTGCTCTCCCTGGCCCAGGTGGTGAAATTGGCTGAAGTCGGACATGTTTGCAAGCCGTGTGTGGTGGTGTTGGTGGGCTGCTTGGATCGGTCTCGATGCTCGATGTCGATGCTCGGGGTTCGAATTAATTGCGGGTAGCTACCAATGGGTTGGGACGGAAGCTGGAGCTGTTGTACGCCGTGAAATTCAAGAGTCGAGATGGACAGGGAATTCGGAGGGTATCGAAAAGTGCGCACGCATCTAAGAGTGCGCCATTCTCCAGCAAAAGTGTCGAGAGTTGCTGTCGTCGTTCAAGGACCAGCCAACTTGTCCAAAAGAGAGGTGACAGCTCGAATAGTGTCCCCTTTCGATCAGCACACGGGTCGACCACGAATCGACAGGGATCTTGACCAAATTGACACGATAACTTTCCGACGCGTTTTTCCATACCGATGTCCACTAAGGTCCATCCACCCGACGGTACCTTGCGGGGCCGTTTACTGAAGCTCCAGCACGTTGCACCGCTGTGGTCTGCCCCGCTTCATGCAGCTCGACGGAGCTAGCCCGGGGTGGGCCTCGGAACAACCAAGCTCCGCTCCGCCTTCATCGAAGAAACCGGGATCCACAATGACGGACCTCTCCCGTCGATGCATTGAAGCTGCCGCTGGTCCCTGCCATTTGCTCTCCTGTCGTGAGTACGTACCTCTCCTACCCTGCAGCATCGCACTGGTGGTACCTGAACAGCCGGGCTGCCTTGGATTCCTTTACGCGACACTGAATCCTCCATTCTCGAAGCCCAAGAGTCGATTTGACGACACGACCACCGTTCCTGCTTGTCGCGCCAGCGTCATGTTTATTGCGTCGACCATCAAATCTCGAATCGACATCCACTAGATTTGATTTGGAGTGAAAAGTCCGGACGATGCATCGCGACTCTCTGCCTTAGACAGCAACCATGTTTACCTTCTGCCCGCTGCAGGGCGCTCTGTCTGAGTCGTCGGCGTCGCAGTCGATCCTAGAACTCGATGGAGGCGTCAAGATTCTCATTGATCTTGGCTGGGACGAATCTTTCGACGTTGAAAAGCTGCAGGAGCTTGAGAAGTACTCCTCCTCTGCCCGCCCGCCGCGTCTTCAAAACTAATTCAATCGCAGACAGATCCCGACGCTGTCCCTCATTCTCCTGACCCATGCCACGACGTCGCACTTGGCTGCGTTCGCGCACTGCTGCAAGAACTTCCCGCTATTTACGAGAATCCCGGTTTATGCGACGCGACCCGTCATTGATCTAGGTCGTACCCTGACCCAAGACCTCTATGCCTCGACCCCTCTCGCCGCCACAAAGATCCCCCACGGCTCTCTTAGCGAGGCTGCCTACTCCTACTCTCAGCAGCCGACCGCCGACAATGACTTCCTCCTGCAAGCTCCGACCCCCGAAGAGATCACTCGATACTTCTCCTTGATTCAACCACTCAAGTACTCGCAACCCCACGAACCACTTCCTTCTCCCTTCTCCCCGCCTCTCAATGGTCTCATGATCACGGCATACAACGCAGGCCACAGTCTAGGAGGAACGATATGGCACATCCAGCATGGCCTGGAATCGATTGTCTATGCTGTGGACTGGAATCAGGCAAGGGAGAATGTGTATGCCGGAGCTGCTTGGTTGGGCGGAGCTGGAGGCGGCGGTGCTGAAGTTATCGAGCAACTGCGAAAGCCGACTGCCCTGGTATGCAGCAGTCGCGGCGCGGAAAAGGTGGCACAGGCGGGCGGCCGCGCGAAGCGTGACGAACAGCTCGTAGACATGATCAAGCTCTGTGTCAGCAGGGGAGGTACTTGTCTCATTCCCGTGGACTCGAGTGCTCGAGTTTTGGAGATTGCTTACCTCCTCGAGCACGCATGGCGCGTTGACTCCGAGGCTGAGGACAGCAGCCTCAAATCGGCCAAATTGTACCTCGCTGGACGGAACATGTCGAGCACATTACGATATGCGCGAAGCATGCTGGAGTGGATGGACGACAACATTGTCCGAGAATTCGAGTCGGTTGCGGACGGTCAACGTAAAGCGAATGGCGCGGATGGCAAGAGCAAGGAGGCTGTGCCCTTTGATTTCAGGTATCTGAAACTAGTCGAGCGCCGGGCGCAAATCGAGAAGCTGCTCTCTGGCGGCGGCGGCAACGTTCAGGCAGAAGGAAGGGTCATTCTGGCTAGCGATGACACTTTGGAATGGGGTTTCTCGAAAGATTTAATACAGGGCTTGGCGAAGGATTCAAGGAACTTGGTCATCCTCACAGACAAGCCGCCTAAGTCTCGCGCGGAACGGCCATCTATTGCGAGAACGCTCTGGGACTGGTGGTCGGAACGCCGAGATGGTGTCACGGTTGAGCAGTCCCACAGCGGCGACAGCATTGAGCTTGTATACGGCGGCGGTCGGGAACTCGAAATTCAAGAGGCTAAGCGCCAGGCGCTTGAAGGAGACGAACTTACCATCTACCAACAATGGCTCGCAACACAACGCCAGCTCCAGGCGACTCAGCAAGGGGCCGGCGGAGCCTCATTACAAGCAACAGCGGACGCTGCCGACGATGTCTCATCGGAATCTTCCTCTGACTCGGGCGAGTCCGACAATGAGCAACAGGGAAAGGCTCTCAACATTTCAACGACCATGGGTCAGGCGACGCGTAAGAAGGTGGTTCTGACGGACGAGGATCTGGGCATCAATATTCTGACGAAGAAGCGCGGCGCATACGACTTTGACGTGAGAGGCAAGAAAGGCCGCGAACGTTCGTTTCCTTTGGTCATGCGCCGCAGACGCGATGACCAGTTTGGAGACGTGATCCGGCCTGAGGATTATCTCAGAGCCGAGGAAAAGGAAGAGGATGTACCGGATGCCGATGTACGGGGAGACCACGACGAGGACCGCCTAGGAAAGAAGCGCAAGTGGGAAGACGCAAATTCCAAGGGAGCGAACAAGCGCCAGAACGCAAGGAACGGCGACGATCAAGACGCGGCGGCCTCGGAAGGCCATGTCGCTGACGAGTTCGATGACGTGGAGGATACCGTCGAGGAGGAGATCCAAGGGCCGTCCAAACTGATCATGACGACGGAGAAGGTTATGGTCAACATGCGCATCGCCTACGTCGACTTCAGCGGACTGCACGACAAGAGGAGTTTGAACATGCTGATACCACTGATCCAGCCTAGAAAGCTGATCCTGGTCGGCGGCACAACGGAGGAGACGACGGCCCTCGCTGCAGACTGCAAAAAGGCCCTCGCCGCTCAGATCGGAGCTTCGGAGGAGAGCGTCGTCGACGTCTACACCCCGTCGATGGGCACCTGGGTCGACGCCAGCGTCGACACGAATGCCTGGGTCGTCAAGCTCACAGACAGCCTCGTCAAGAAGCTCAAGTGGCAGAACGTCCGCGGCCTCAGCGTCGTCACCATCACGGGCCAGCTCGTGGCGGAAGCCCTCGCCAAGGAGAAGGACGACGGGGCCAACAAGCGGCAGAAGACGGACGACGCCGACGCGCCCCAGGAGGAGGACGATGCCGACGTCGAGATCGTGCCGGCGCTGGACCTCCTCCCGATGAACATGACGTCGGCGGTACGCTCCGTCGCGCAGCCGCTGCACGTCGGCGACCTCAGGCTCACGGACTTGAGGAGGGCGATGCAGTCGGCCGGGTACACGGCCGAGTTCAGGGGCGAGGGTACGCTGGTCATCAACGGCGCGGTGGCGGTCAAGAAGACGAGCACCGGCAAGGTGGAGGTGGAGAGCGTGGGTATCGCGGACGCGGCGACCATGATGCAGCACCGGAGCACCTTCTACGAGGTCAAGAGGATGATTTACGACGGCCTTGCCGTGGTTGCCGGGGCCTAGGGGCGGGGAATGGGCATGTGCGGTTTGGCTCCGAAGTTGGAGGTGTCGAGATGTAGTTTGTAAGATGGCATTATTTTATAGGTTTATCGGCCGGAATAGATGGACCTCTAGATTCGGTCTTGATCTTGATTTTGATTTGTGAACGGGCTGCAGGTGACTGAACTTGATACTGGTGTCGTGAGCTATGTACTTACCCTCGCTCTAAGTAATCCCAGCATCTAGTCACCGAGTCGGATCAACCGATCACGCTCATTATTCTAGCTCTGTTCCTAGCTTTTGTTGTTATTACCCAAGCCTCGCGCGGAATAATATCGAAACTACTGTTGAATTATCCCAAAGTTCTCTTCCAACCCGGTTTTGGCTGCTATCAACCCCTCGTACCAGTGGCTATTACACTCCTTTTTCAATTCACAGGATCTCCACCAGGACATAGGACAGAACATGACTTGCTGGTGCCGGAAGTATGGATTGAGCGCTTGGTATCACTATAACTTGTGTCGTCCGTCCTCTGCTGGGATTTAGATGAGTTTGTGGTCAGCTTTAATAAGCCGTTCTTTTGTAGTTCTGGTCATGGTGGTCGATTTGCTGAGATTAAGACCACAAGGGGAAGGCAAGCAGATACCTTTCTACGACGAGGGCTGTGAGGTGTGGTAGGCAGTACGAATAGAATAACGATAGTCGCTCATTCCGATGTTCCCTCCCATAACTCGACTCGAAGAGGAGCTTCGAAGGCAACTTCCCACGCCATCTCCCCGACGCCGTCGTGAGTAAACGTAGTCGCTGAATCAGATCCTCGACGTGGACACCATTCCTTCACCAGCCACCACGGAGCTTCGAACCAGAGAAGGATGTCTATTCTCATCACCAGCCAAACAAACAATATCATACAAACCCCATCAAAGCACGAAAACGCCGCCCAATGCCGATACCACTCATCCCTCAACGCGATCAAGAATCCCTCCTCTCGATCCCGACCATCTCATACCCTCCTTCCCCGTCCCTCCCCCTCCCCCTCCCTCTACCCCTCCCGAACCCGACGCCTCCCTCCTCCTCGTCCCCGACGGCACCACCGTTCTGCGCCTCCGCATTCCCGGCAGCAGCGGCCGCCGCGGCGTTCCCGCCGTGGCCCCCGAACGATATCGGCCTCAGCTCGCGGTACTGCGACCCCCAGATCGCGAGCGCCACGCACACGGCCGCGCTGGTGGCCATGGCGCCCCACCACATCATGTTCCGCGGCACGCGGCCCGTGTAGAGCGAGGTGACGACGAGGTGGATCCCGTGCATCGTGAGGGCGAAGTCGGGGACGAGCTTGGAGCGGCCTATAAGGATGATGATCGCGACGGCCCTGTGGTCGTGTCTGCGTCAGCCGTTGTTCGTGTCTTTCTCTCTCTCTCTAACACATCCAACCCGAAGCACTCACTCCCACGAACCAGGAGAACAAGAACAAGAAGAGAAGAAAAACTCACATGCAAAGCCCCCCATCGAGAACCCAGACGAAAGCACCCAGCCATCCCTGCGTCGTGTCCCCGCGGACGCCCTCCCACCCGAACACCAGCTCCATGCTGAAACCCGTGCCGGCCACGAGCGCCGTGAAGAGCATGAGCACCAGCGCCGCGGCGTAGTAGAGACCCTGCAGCGCGGCGATTTGCGAGGCGATCCGGAGGGGGGGCAGGTCGGCGAGGGCGCCCGGCCGGGGCGGCTTGCGACGGCGGGGCATCGTCGTCGTCGTCGTCCTAGTTCAAGCGGTGGTGTCCTGTCGTTGCGCGGAAGCACCGAGGTCGGATTTTGTGTTGTGTTTGGGGAAGCTAGGTGGTGGTGCGAGCGATATTCTTCGGGCTCGTTGTGCGAATCGTGGGTGTGTTGTTTCTGTAGTTTCCCTTTTCCAGACAGGGAGTAGAAGGCAGAGAGTAAGGTAAGGTGGACGGACGGGACCGGGGGATTAAGATGCGGATGCGCCAGTCCGAATCTCGCTACCGGCCGTCGCAAATGCACCTCAAGCTGCGTGTGCTCGTGCCTTCAAATAACGGCAATAACCGAACCCGGTCTCTTAACAACTGCCTTAAAAAAACAAAAAATCCCTTTTCTCTAAGAATTTCAAGAGTAAGAAAAGTAAGCAAAGTTGTCGTCGCAGTGTTGACCTGTGTAGTAGGTAGGAGGATCAAAAAAGCAGATCGTCAGGTCCAAGGCCAGATATTTTGCGCCACACCCGGGGGAGGGAAGCTAGGTACCTTAGGTAAGGTATTGGCAACCGTAGCCGTAGCAGCAGCAATTAAAGAAACAAGAGAGAGAGCTCCTGCCACGTCAAGGCGGAGCCACAGCGAGAAAAAATGACGCTATGTCCGCATGAGGCAAGGCTGAGGCTGAAAAAAAGGGCGCGCGAATGCAACGGGAACCCCTGCCCGCGCTACCTATGCCGTCTAACTGAGAGCAAGCGCTTCTTCACCGCCCGAGGAAATTCTGCCCCCCTCCGTCGCTTTCTTTCGCACCAGCAGCGTCATCTACCTTACCTCAAGCTAGATACCAGTCCCCGTTCCGTCGCCACCAAAGTCGAGTAAAACGAAAAACACCTGACATCGAAATTTCCTCCAACACCGCTTCTCGAATCCGAAAGCCACCTCTCTCACCCCGTTCCACCGAACAAGAGAGACAAAACACACACGATGGGCTTCTTCTCCGCGAAATCAGACGAGGACCGCCGCGCCGAGGAAGTCCGCTCCGGCGCCGTCGCCCCGAAGCGCAACGAGCGCCGCAAGTGCTGGGACGCCCGCGACGCCTACTTCGGCTGCCTCGACCGCAACAACATCGTCGACGCCCTCAAGGACGACCGCCAGGCCCGCAAGGCCTGCGGCGCCGAGAATACGGATTTCGAGAGGGACTGCGCCGCCGCATGGGTACGTTCGAGATTGATGGTTGTGGTTCTTCTTTGTCGTTGTTGTTGTTTGGAAAAACGATCGAACAACACGACGAGGAGTGAATCAATTGAAAAGACAACCAAAAAGAGACCCGAATGACTAACACCGACGCAACGCAGGTGAAATACTTCAAGCAGTGGCGCGTCGCGGACATCCAGAAGAAGGAGCGCATAGCCCAGCTCGAGGCCGAGAACGCCGTCAAGATGGACGTGACCACATCCTTCACCGACGCCTCCAGCGTACCAAAGGGCACGAGCAAGATGGACCTGCAGGACATGCTGGCGTCGAAACGAAAGTAAAAGACGCGGACGGCAGACCACCACAACGACCCAGGCAATTTGAACTTGATACCATATCCCATGTAACAACACAATATAGACCACACCCGGGTCGGGGGACACGTTTGTAATTTTATGTACGAATATTCATGAGCAACACACAAAAGCCGTCGACCTGGACACATACCCCACGCTGGGCTGTATCTAGACACCGGGCACGAAGACGAATGAGAACCAACTCTTCTACTTTGCTACCTGGGCGAAACCAACCCGGTGACATGGGAGGAAAGCGCCTCTGAATAACCCTTTAGTTGACTAGTCTTTCCCTTCCCATGAGCTCCATCATCCCTTGTCCACCTCGGGTCGTCACTGACAATGATTTTTACGTGATGACCTTTATGTATCTGTATGAGAAACAAAGAAACAACTGATAAAGAAAAGTAAGAAAAAAAAGAAGCATGCTCAATGCAATGGTGGTATCATCCATGTGAGAAAACACTAGTAAAAAGCTCTGTGGCTCGTCTCGGCTCTCTGTTGCCTCTGGTCGCTGTGAGACCTCCTTGAACGAGCTTGCAGAATTGTCATAGACCCCGTTGATGCAATTGTGATTTTGTTGATCCCTCCGCTGCTTCAGCTGCTTCGTTCCCTGTTTTCGAATCCTCCTCCTTCGTAACGACACGTATTCCCCTGTTCTTCTTCCGTAGCAAGGTTGCGCCCTACGCAAGCCCCACACGGAATTGGCTCTCCCCAGCAGCCTCCTTGGGAAGCGGCGGCAGGTCCTTGTTGAGCGACTCCTTGCTGATTCGGGCGTTCAGCCGGAGCGAGTCTTCTCGACTCATCGTGGAGCCATTGCCGTTGGGCAGCGCTCCGTAACCGCTGTCCTGGCTCTCGGGCTTGAGGTGGTGGCCCTTGGGCGGCGTCGGCGGCGCGTAGTCGCGGAGGCCGGCGAACCTGCGTTCCATGCTCGTCTTGGCTGGGGTTGCCGGTCGGTAGTCGTCGCCATCCCGGCTACGGCCACCTAGAGACGAGGCCTCTCCCGCCTCTTCCACCACCGGCAGAATAGGGGCTCCCTGGCCGCCAGACTCGCGGCGCTCTCCAGTCTTGGTGCTTAACACCACTTCAGGCACGGCTGCCTCCGAAGCCCCGTGTCTCTCCGTCCTTCGAGCCTCCCGGTTGGCTCGCTCAACAGTTTCCCGGGCTTCCGGCGATGTCGCGCCATCGGGTGGGGTCGGAGGCGGTTGGTAGTTCGGCATCGGCGGGATGTTAGCCGTCGTGGATCGGCGGCGCAGGCTCGAGCTCCAGCTAGCAACGCGTTGTCGCTCTGCGGCCGCTGCGGCCTCGGCTTGCTCCTGATCCTTCCGCTGCGCCTCCCTTCGCGCTTCTTCTGGCGACATCGTGATGCCTTCAACGAAGTTGTAGAATCGGTCACCATACTGTTCGGGCGGTAGAGCCGAAATCTGCTTCCTGTCGCTGGTGAGACCCTTCCAGAAGTGTTCAATCTTTTTGATCATTCCGTACTATGACAAATTAGCAATGGATCAGCGGATGGTCACGCTCGACTTACGTGGGTCAGGCAGTCAATGACGCCGAGGTAGTAGATCTCGTCGGCAGGCGAGTTGTCCTCGTGGGTTGCCTGGAAACCGCCGTCGTCCTGGTTGAAGATGTACCCCGAACGGCTGTGTCCCTCGTCGAGCTCGTTCGGCATTTGTGTTGCCGTCTCGCCCATGGGAATGGGTCGTTCGTGTCGAATCATTTGCCTCAGTTCCCTGGCCTTGCGAGCGTTCTCGAGCTTGGATGGAGTTCGCAGAAGCACCGAGGGAGGCTCGCCGTCTTCCGGCGAGTTGCCACTACCCGGGTTGAAGACCTGGAGGGTCTTACCACGGAGGTTCTCCTCGTTGCCGCGGCTAAGGTCATGGATACCAATCAGAAGAGAGTAGTCCATAATCTGGAGTTTCTTCATCAGCACCACATCCCTCTGCAGCTGCTCCAGGAACAGCTTCTTCTTCTGGATGCCCAGCTCAAGATGCCGCTGCCTTCGCAGCCAGTTCAGGTCCTTCAACGTCGCTCTCGGGTTCTTATCCAGGTCGTCTTCCTTATAGTCGCGACCAATCGTAGATCCCTTCAAGTCGAACGTGGTGTGGATGTCGCGGTGCGGAGGGAAGAGGTTGTTCATGACGACAAAGTGAATCTTCTTTCCGTACGGCATCTTGACCCTGTGAAGACCGTAGAATTGTGACAGCAAAGTGTTCGGGTTCTCGGTGACGTGATGGTAGTAGTCCTTGAGGATCTTGCGCAGGAACTTGTGCTCGGCGTGGTGGATCGTCTTGATGATGTACTTGTAGTCTCTGGAGAAGTAGAAGAAGCTGCCGCTCTTTCCAGGAGACCCGAGCTCCGACAGAATGTACTTGCCCGTCAACGACATCAGGTAGTCGGCGGGATCCAGGCGGAACAAATTGCGCAGATGTCGGAATACCCACGGCGCGTAATCCTTAAATTTGAAATCGTACTTCGCCGAGGGAACCAACTCGTTGCCAGCACTGCGATGGTTAGCATATCTCGGCGCACTGCTCGAAGGATGTGACTTACATGTCGAAAGTCGACTTTTGCTTCGCGTCAAAATCAGCATCCGTCAGAGGCCGGTCTAGCTTTGCATTGGTTCGAGACACGGAAACGCGGATACCCGTCAGCATATTGTAGGCAGTAACCCAATTTGCGTGATGTTCGTCCACTTTCGTTCCGACCACTACCCTGTCGTCATCCTCCTCTTCCTTCCTCTTCCTCTTGCTCGCACGTTTTTGCCGATAATGTTCGGCCCAGCGGAGGGCATCGTCGTCGGGAACGACCTCATCGCGAGGCGCGTCGGATTGCATCGAGCGAGTGTCTCTCCGCACCAGATTGAGCGACGCCCTACGCACTCTTTGCGTGGTACTCGTGTGTGATGTGGGGGAGAATCGACCGCTCGAGAAGGCGGCATCAGAGCCATCCTTGGAACCGCGATTGGACTGGGAGCCCGGCACTTCGAGGGTATGGCGATGCTTGAGGCCGCCGTTTGGCGGTTGCAGCCCCGTCGACGTGGATGCATTGGGCGTCGCACCAGCGGATTGGTACAGCGGCGGAGAAGAGAATCGCTGCGGCGATTGAGGGTTGTTATTGGGGTTGGGAGACAGCGACGTGGTGCTGACGGCGGGTACCGGGGTCGTCGAGCCATTCGCGTTGCTCTGGGATGGGATCGGAGGAGGTGCATAGTTGGGCGAGCTGGTTCCATTGGTCTTTATTGTGTGATCGATCGAACCGGCTGCGGGCGACGCGATTGAGGGGGGCGTGAGGTACGCATCCGGACTCGAGTTGTCTGTCTCGGAGGCAGGTTTCCTTATCACCCTGATTGGGGGCGGCGGCGCCGTACGGTCGGGCATGGCGACGGTTCCTCCATTTTGCAGCGGGTGCTTGTGGTTGATGTAGTCTGCGTGGTTGTTTTGATAATCGTGTCGGGAGTCGGCGTCGTGATAATCAAAGTCTTGGCCTCCTCCGGCCCCTGCCGAGCCGTTGGGCAACGAGCTCATGCTAGTCGGTCTCGTCCCATTCATCTGTGTGGGTATGGAATCAGAGACGTCGGAGGCGTGTGTTGACGATGAGGTGGAGCTTTCGTCGAAGCTATCATGGAGGTTGTTTGAGCGCGACGGACGAAGCGGCAGGGAGTGTGTTAGCCCATTAATTGGGTGGTGCTTGTGACCGGAGAGGTCGAGCGTGTTGTTTGGGTCGAGATCCAAAAAGTCCGAGTTGGGCGAGTAGATGGGGGAGTTCTCGCGGGTTAGATACGTGGGCATGGTCGGTCGGCCGGGGTTCGAGACGCTCGGGAGGACAAACAACGGAGGGAGAGTAGGAGTGGATGTGACGGGGGTCGACCGCTACGGCTATTCTGGGCGATGTCGTTTTTGGTGTCTGTCCCCGGTCCGTCGTCGGGAGTGGAGGAGGTGAGGAGAGGTGTGTGATGAATGTTGATCGTTTCTATGGCTTCGTTCGGTTTGGTCGACACAAGTAAGAAAAAAACGCTGAGCGAGGCCCTCAGCACATGCTTCGAAGACTGAAAAACGAAGGGAATAATAAGACAGGAAAGGCGGCCGTTCGGTTCGTTTCGTTCGTTCGTCTGGGTATCTTTGTCGCTAGGAGCAGATTGGGGTGGTCGAATGAGCCCGTCCTGTGCTGGTCGACTACTTTTCGATTGCGAGAGGCTAGAGCCAAAGGGAGAGATAGAGTAGAGGGCGGGAGATTAGAGATGGGGATGCAGATGGAGATGGAGGAGAGGATCGTCGAAAGGTGCTCCTGACTGCGTCGCCTTGTTGGTCGTGGTCGGGATAGACTGGGCGGCGATGGCAGCGGGAGCAATGGTAAAGTCGGAGCGGATTGAAAGTCGAGACGGAGGGAAGTAATTCAATGGATCGGGCATGTCTCTGCGGCGACGTGACGCATGGCTCCTTTGACGCTGGCGAGAGGAGGAGTTGGTGGTAGGAGTGTTGGTGGTGGTTGTGGTGGTGATGGTGGTGGTGGTGGACGACTGGCAAATGTGACGGGAGGGAAAAAGCTGGGGGAGAGAGGTTTTGACGATGAGGGCGCGTTGTTGCGTGGTTACGAGAGAAGACCGGGCCAAGGTACAGGGGCTGGGCACGCTGAGCGACAGGAACAGGACCCGGTGCGTCCACTGAGAAGTCGACGAGAGCCACTGAGAGCCACTGAAGGCCCGTCGTGGACACTGCCCTGAGCAGGGAACGACGGGACCCAGCCGGGCAATCTCAGGAGGGAGAGAAGTACGTACCCGGCACCTGGGTGCCTTACTCGGGAAGGAGACAGAAGACAGAAGGTGAAGAAGGTGCACCTGCCAGCAAGCAGCAACACGGTACACCAGCAATCAGCAGCAGAGGCAGGTGCCAGGCAAGAGCGACCAGGGCAGGCGCTGTGGCAGGGACGTGGAGGGCAGCTGCAAGATGAGTCTTGATAATCAGCCAAGGTACCCCCCCATATTAACGTCGCAGGGAGATACTTGTAGACCCGCAAAAACCAAATGAAGGGGCATATGGACGGTCGTGATTGGCCATAAACCCGGGTCAAATGGGGCTTGGCCGTCCACTGTCCCTTGGGTCTTTTTTGGGGGGCTGGAAATTGGAAATGAGCTCTTCCGTCTTCACCAGAGAAACCTCACTTCACCTTCCAAATCCCTCTCTCTCTCTCTGTGTCTGTTGCGTCGTCGACATTCCGGTCCGAGAACCAATACACGTATCCAGAGATGAAAAGGTCATCCGTCATTTGGGCTCCCGGGAGGCAAGCCAGCCGTCACCTAGCTTGCGATCTTCACACCAACCTCCGCCAACTCAGCTAAGCTCTTTCGCTAGTTGACTCCTATCGGCAAGGTAGAAAAAGACAAGAGACCTGCACCGGACCTGCCAAGTCCTATGTACAGAATACAAACCTCTCCCGAGTGTCAGTGTCGCTCACGTCGGCGACCAACAGATATTGCAGGTCCCGTGGCCACTCACTATTCGTACAGAGTCCCGCCCAGCCCAGGCCCCAAGACGCGGTCGACGCCGTGTTTCCGGTCGACTGGGTCAAATTCGGACAAGCCACCGCCATCGTCGACGGATAAAGAAGCCCTTTGGAACTCCCCCTTGACGCCCCTTGTCGAGGCCCTGCCTGACTTGATCTTGGGTCTTGAATCCTCAACATCGTCGTGGGGATGAACAAACCCACAATGGCAGTGTTATCAATGCCGTCCTCGTCACCCCGATTTATTATGTAAAAACTCGGTATTCAAAGACTTGCTGTCATCAGCTCAACCAGACGTTGAAGATCTGTATGTACGTACGCCGACCTCCACATAAGACGGACCACCCCGCGCGCCTCAAGGTACCTGCTCTGTACACTACGTATGTACATGCATATGCGGTTCCATTCTCATCGTCGTCCTAGTGTCGCTATTCATAGCATGTCTGCATACCGACCCCGGGTGCCATCGCTCACTCGACTGAGCCTCAGGAGACGCAGCTAATTAGCCAACGGCTACGACACTGTCTCCCGTCGCGCCCTTTTTTCCAATATCACAGAGTTGGCGGCCGCAGAGTGGCTTCATGTCTTGATGCTGGCGTGCCCGTTCCCTGCTTCGCTCAGCCAACTTGCGGCATCACTCTCACTCGCCGCACGTTATGCATATCTCATCTCATCTGCCTCACATAACAAACCAGCATGTTCATAATGAGATGAACCGTCCAGGCGCTTCTCTGCCTGAATCACAATCACAGGGGGGGAAAGCTCGAAAGGGAGCCGCAATCGAAGCCTCCCGCGGTCCGTACGGTATCTGTATGTACGTGTGACAATCACCCCTCGCCAAATCCCATCATGCCCGCACCTTAATATCAACGACCTGCATTCCACCCCCCTCAGAAGCCGGCCTCTTCGACCCCTGCGCAGCTGGAAACTCCTGCGGAGCGGGGGCCATCATTACAACACTACGGTAAGGTACGGAACGCTCTTGGTAACTGGGCCTCACAGTCTCTCCTCACTATCCCACCGCCCTTTGCTCGTCGCAGTCACTCCTGACTTCTGTACGCCAGCAATCAAAGAGTATACTGTACACACGAAAATGCGGGAGTGTATTCGTCAGTATCCGGTCTCAAAATAGTCGACAAGCCCCTACCAAGGCACATCAACCCACAAGCCAAATCAAATCCAGACCATCCTCAAAACACGGCCACTCAAACTTCTCCATCCCGAACAGAGCGATACCGTCCAATATTATTTCACATCAAATCTCAGATACAATCAGGTGTATCCGTAAGCCGCCATCGCTAGCGCAGCCGCGGGGCACGGGGAACCCGAGAGCCCCGTAGCCCGGCCGTTCGGTCGTCGTCCTTTTACCCTCCTTGCCTTGCATCGGGGGGGGCAGTGAACACACTCTCTCTCTGTCGTCCCTTCACCTGGATACACGTATCACGGTAGGTAGGGGAGACAGACGGACACACAGGCCAATGAGATCGTCATCCGAGCTGAATACAGCATCAACCCAGCACGCGCCTCACCAACACCCCGAAAACCCCTGAACCGAACCGGTCTCTAATTTCCATCCACAGCTTCCATCGTCCTCTTCTCGAAGAAAGCGAGGAGATACTTCTTGCGGATGACAAAAATGATAGCTCCATATTACCTACCGCGCCATCAGATCCAGTCGAGATGTGCCGTACAACCTAGCACGCCCTGCAACCGCTAAACACAACCACGCACTCGGTGATGAAAATACTCTAGTAAATGCCCGCCTCTGCGTGGTGACCACCAGGGCATCTATTAAGACAACTCGTCCTCATCATCAGTATCACACCTCTCCAAAGCGGCAGTCGAAATGGCCGCATCCCTCAGACCGCCAGAAAAAATAACGATGTACAAGTGGTACGGCGGTGATAAGCCCAACCAGAGCCGATCCGTGACGTCGCACCGCCGAATCGTCTAGCTCCATCCCGGCCACGCAACCACGCTTTTTTTTTTTTTACTCGGTGGTTTTCCCTGAATTCCTGGATCGTCAGAACATTTTGCTGCTTCCGCGACGCGGGAAGACCCCCAAACATGCAATGAGGTCATTGTCGTCCATCCTCATGAATCAGTCCTGGCATCCCAAGGTCCCTTCCCTTTTTGAACGTTGTTTTCCATTGGAAAGACCAGCAGTTCATTTTCTTATGGTACCATACTGCAAGCAAGCAGTCAAAACCGGTCTCCATTTCGCCTCCGTGCCATGCCATGCCACCTCATCGCCAACAGTCCATATGACGATGCCATCCATCTCCATCCAACGTCCCTAAACCAGCTTTCCAACCCCTCTAAAGCAATCTCTCACAACATGACGTGGAATGGTTACCGAACATCGCAAACCAACCCAACCCCCATGTCCACCCACCCGCACCCCCTTTCTTTCCACCATCCCGCGCCTGGGATGAACCCCCATCGCATCAACCCGCCAAGCGGGCTGCCGAGAGAAAAGACCGCCGCCGCCGCCGCCGCCCACCCTTCGCGGCGCGGCACGGAGGGGAGGGGATGGGATCATGGCTGGAGGCTAACTCCGTCCGCGGCCCAGTTCGCGCAGGCTTGGAAGAGAGGAAGAAAATCTCTGCAAGTGGTTGGTTTTTTTTCACTTCGTCGGAATATTCCCGATTTTTAATGGGAAGACTGAGTGACGCTTTACTGTCTCTCATGCGCCAAGGGAATCCTTACATGCGGAGGACCCGGGCACGCAGCCAGCCCTATCGAGTAATTTTCGAAGCGGTTCGTCTGCAGATCTTGGAGCTCTGGACTCCGGTCTGAATAAGCTCTGCTGGGCCAGAAGGATTGGAGCATTCTATGATGAGTGATGCTTCTGCACCGGACCAGCCATCGTCGAAGCTGACCACACGCACCAGTCCTCGTGGTACAGGTAAAGACTACAGATATCATGTCGTCTAGAACGATTTAAGCTTCTCTTTCTTCATTTCCCTTAATATTCCCTTCCTATTTGTCGTAGTTTTGATACCCATTCCCGGCGGTGTCCAATATCCTCGTTGTCGTTCTCGTGATCGCATTCAACATCACCCCATCACCTTCCCCGGTGTTACTGTCATAAGCAAGCACGAAAACAAACCATAATGGCAAATCACCTTGAAGTATGGACTTTCTTTACAGAGAACACGCCAAAGTCTTGAGAAATGAATCAAAAAGGCACCATCTCGCCCGATTAAGTCCGTTTAAAGTTGGGACGTCGTCTGTTGCAATGCGCCATCGTCTTCTCGGGTTTCATGCACTTACACAGGTACCAGCTAAAGAATCCTCCAAGCCCTCCTGTTACATAAACGAGGAAAACTCTCAATGCTGGGAAGTCGCCGGGTCATACTATCCAGTGCATATCTAGAACCAGCATCCAAACGCGCCTCTCGTCATGCATACAAGCAGGCTATCTCTCCTCAAGCTGCGTAAAAAAATAGAAGAAAACGCTATTAGCTACACAGACAAAACATTCTTAGACCTTAGACCTCGCCCGCTGCATAAGAAGCTCTCGGGACGACGTGCCCAATAAGCGCGGCCGGGACGGCTGCCATATCAGACGACGGCAACTCACGACCGAAAAGGGGGGGGGTTACCCAAGTTCAGGAGCGTTCTTCGCTTATGAGACGGAATGTGATCAGACTGGGACTCATGTTATACTGCATATAACACCCGAACTCAGTTGGTTTGGAGGGATAGGGTTCACCAGTGAAATCACGTCCATTGACTCTTTGGAATATCTGATACCATACTGCACATAACACTCAGATTGTTTCGATAAAGAGGAATAAGATGTACGAGTCAAATCACGCCCGTTAAGCCCTTCGAAAACTTAAATGGTAGCTGTTAGGCTGGATATCTTGAAGGAACGGCCAGTCATGCACGACATCGGGACTCTTAATGAGATAGCATGCTTCGGAGGAACACCGGCACATCGAATGTCTTGATTGCCCATATGGAACTCATGCGTAGGGGGTTGAGAAACTTACATAACTTCTCCTATAGCGTCTGCACGCTTCTACCGCTCTCTATAAGTGACGTCTCCCACAATGTCAACGGGGCGGAATCTTCATTGACGTTTTGTTAAAGAATTCGGTGATGTTCAGGGCATTCTTGGTCGTCCAGCCATCCGTCTCGCCATACACCGTGGGAGCTTTTTGTGTGAGCCATGTCTCCCACTCCAGTTGAGGGACAGAGGTACATGTCCATTGCGTGAACTACACATTTCTAAACGCGACCCGGTTGTCAATCCTATATATCGCGAGATAGTCTCAACTTGGCCTTCGCTCAGCCTCCACTCCAACAATTTGCAAGATATCATCAAGCAACCCTTAACCAGCTTCATAAGTAAGACTACGCCTCTCCACCTAGCTTGGCCATCAGATCTATTAGACCCTTCACGTATGAGAGAATGGAGACAAGGCACATGTACGACCAACCAACGGAACCACCATGTCTTTTTTCCAATGAAGTGATATCTATTGTGTCCATCTCCTCGGGATAAACACCAGGAGAGATAAAGGCAGTAAGAATACTCACTTACGTCGTAGCCGTAACTGTGCTGAACAACCGTCGGAGTTCCCATGCCACTCCTAATCCGAATAAACATACGAAAGCGACTCAGTTAAACAGAACAAAACCGATCATCACATCCACACATCGCTCGCAAGTCAGCTTCTAGGTACTAAAGACCACATGCTTCGTTCATCTCCGAACGCGCTTCACACACACCCATCCTCGACTTCATCCACACGAGGAGGAAAGCATATCACATCACCTTCCCGCATTGTTCTCAAATGTTCACAAGGCCAGGCGATCCCTCGGGATACACACAGGTAGTCTTCTCAGGATTCTTCTTAGCCTGGTAAAGGGAAATAGGTTTAGACATAAGACTTCGGAAACGGCACGGACAGCGACTTCAACATCACTAACTAGTGAGAAAAGGAATAACCGAGATAAAAATTACAGAAATAAGATGATGTGAACGACGAGCTGGTAGATCTGCTGAGATGAACGGGCAACTCGGCCGTTAGTTGGAAAGGACTGTTGTTGAATGAACCATAGCAAACGTTGAACCTCGCGACATTCCACTCCAAAACTATACAGAGCATCACACAAAACTTCAACCTGAAGAAGCTGAAAAACCTCGCGCAAACAAGCTCACAAATGCAACACTTGGATTCGGGATCTCGCTGGGAGCATCGTGAGTCGTGCCCGCCCCACAAGAGCGGCTTGCCGGCCTGCCTCCACCATCAACCAGCCTATCATCACCGGTCTATTAGTCTAGTTGGTTAGGACGTCGGATTCTGATTCACCATCAGTTCCTTCCGTAAGCCCAGGTTCGAATCCTGGATGGACCTTTCATTTTGCTCCCGTTCACTCTGATCAATTTTTCTTTTTTGAAGCATCTGCAAGCTCGACGATTGCAACATTGTTCTTTCTCACGCTGGGACATCTCATGAAGTAGGTCATTTTGTTATGTTCAAACAGGCCGTATCCGTCTCCCGGCTCAAATATTGAGTACATCGAAGCCAGCCCCTCATCACTTATACGAAAGCCTGGATGCCTGTGATGGCACGGCCGATAATGAGACCTGTTCAACGTCAGCACCAAACCCTCAACGCAGCCACCTCTCTCGTATAACTTACTATGGATATCACTCTGTCCCTCGTAGGTCTGCGTCACGAAAAGGTTCGCCACGTGCCGCCCGATGCCGTACTCGTCGCTGACGGCGTTCCCGCCAAAGATCTCCTGCAGCACGCGCGCGTTCTGCAGCGCGCGGTCGCAGTTCTGGCGCTTGACCATGCTGATCATCTCGGGCGTGGCCTTGCCCTCGTCCTTGAGGCGGCCGACCTGGATGGCGGCGACGGTGCCGTAGGCGGCGTCCGTGGCGGCGTCGGCGAGCTTCTTCTGCACGAGCTGGTACTTGGCGATGGGGTTGTTCTTGAACTGCCTGCGCTCGAGGGCGTAGGCGCGGGCGCGGGCGACGCAGTCCTCGAGGGCGCCGATGACGCCGAGGGAGATGCCGTAGCGGGCGCTGTTGAGGCAGGAGAAGGGCCCGCGCAGGCCCTCGACGGAGGGGAACATGTTGGCCGCGGGGACGGGGCAGTCGTCGAGCTGGATCATGCCGGTGATGGAGGCGCGCAGGCCGTTCTTGTTCTTGATGGCCGGGGTCTCGAGGGTTCCGGGCGGGCACTGGGAGCGCTCGACGAGGAAGCCGCGGATCTTGCCCGTCTCCTGGAGCTTGGCCCAGACCATCAGCACGTCGGCGATGGGGGAGTTTGTGATCCACGTCTTGGCGCCGGAGAGGGAGTAGTAGCCCTTCTTGGTCGGGTGGGGTTTGGCCGTCGTTTCCATGGAGCCCGGGTCGCTACCGTGGTTCGGCTCCGTCAGGCCGAAGGCGCCGAGGAGCTTGCCCTGGGCCATCTGGGGTAGGTATTTCTCCTTTTGCTCCTCCGTGCCGAACTCTGCGATGCCGCCCATGACCAAGGAAGACTGGACGGACATGCCGGAGCGGTAGCCGCTGTCTACCCTCTCGACGGCCTTCGTGATGAGGCCTCCGGCGACGGTGGAGATGCCCGCGCAGCCGTACCCTTCGATCGTCGCTCCGAGAAGACCAAGCTCACCCATTTCTTCGAGGATCTTCTTGTCGTAGTTCTCGTCCCTGTAGGCCTCTGCACATGATTAGAGCTGTCTATTGGGATGGCATCTTGCGAACTTACGGAGCACGCGCGGGAGCATGCGCTCCTGGCAGTACCGCTCGGCGGTCTCTGAAATGGCGAGCTCCTCCTCGGTCAAGAGGTTCTTGGAGTTCAGGGGGTCCTCCCAGTCAAAGACCGGGCCGCTGGACGACGAGGCGAAAGACCTCGCTGCGGGAACGGCGCGCCTGGCGACGCATTGCCTTGCGCAAGTCCTCAGGGCGGGGCGATACATTTTGAGAATATGCCGATTGACTCGTTCTCAGGGTGGTTTGGGCGGAAATAATGAAGGCATCATGATGGGAGTGTTGCCGTCCAAGTGCCGACCCCGAAGCGCACCCCGCCGGTAAGCGTCCCGAGTAGCATCCGAGGCACAATCTCGATGCTGTCTCATTGGTCAGAGGTCAGAGCGGGAGGATTACATAAGGACCCGGTGTCGGCGAATGACGTCGTCGCCGCGGAGAGTTGCTGTTTGGCCGTCTCGATGAAGCTCTATGCTAGTTACTGTGTAGATGTGACTCCCGAACATTCAGAGACACAGGGTCTGCATGATCTGTAATCAGTGCAACATGTTGACTACATCTGAGTAATGGATCTCTGGGTTGTCGGCTCCGTAGGATGAGGCTCTCCGGGGAAGCACAGCCACAATATGCAGAGGCGAAGATCATGACTTGTGGAAGATGGAAGATGCCGGGCTGCAGCAGTAGCGGCGTTGGAGAATTGAAACGTGACAGGGAGATGCTTCCTCGTATCTGGAATACTGTTCGGCAGTAGCCGGCACAGAGTTCAGACTCGGGTTGGGATGTTGGAGTGGACTGATGGCGAGGTACATGAAGCTTCAGGCGTCTGTTGGTGCCTGACGATGTATCGAGCTCGGTCCGATGGGACAGATGGACGTCATTGCCGGGCTGGCAATGGGATGGCAGATGCAATGTGTCCTGAGAAAGTTGTCCTGGGGTAGCGTTGAAGCCGAAGAAGGTATCCAGAGATGATGGGCGATTTAGACAGTCGGGTGTCACTTCTATCTGCAATTACTGCTGGCATTGTTTATTAGTGACGGGCTAATTATCTAGGAAGGGAGGCCGCTCTGGGGATTTGCCGCATGCGTCAGATACAGGCTGAAGAGTGTTGCTTGTATGGCCGGTCTTGTGGTCACCTCACGTTGCCATCCTGGTTGATTCTGGATGAGATGCCGGGCCGGAGGATCAAGAGGGACGAAGTGCAGCAAATACAGATGCAAAGGTGACTTAGTTCTTGGGCGGATGCGACATGGACTTGGTGAAGATGGCAAGCTGCCCTGTCTGTCACCAGCGCAGCCATTCGTCGATTTCGTGGAAGATCAGGGAAGCACAGAGTAGAACCCCAGACTGAGGCTGAGTGCCTGGATAGCTGAGTAACCACAGATGCCAGCCTGTATTACCAATCCTGACGCAGCGGCAAGTTGCCATCTGTTAGCGCTGGAGGTATCTCGCCGACGAACTGTGGCGGTGCGCAGGTTCCGTCCAGGTTCCCATTCTGGCGGGGCATCCACCAATCTGGCTTTCAGAACACGAAACAGCGCACACGACTGCCCACTGTTTGTTTGGTTTGCATGACGCTACTGGCGGGAGGGAAAGAAGGTGTCTCTACGAATAGAAATCGTAATCCACATACAAACAAGGTCTTTTTCTGAGCAAGAAAAGGTACGGATACATGCCATACACCTGGACCTGAGGACCCGGGGAGGACCTGAGGTAGGCCCGTAGGTAGCTGTGAGTGGCGCAGGTAGCTGCTGCTGCTGCCTCAGACCGCCTGCCTGAATCCAGCATTAGGCCTTAGGCGTTCTTCTCCCCCCCCTCCTTCCACCACTGAGGCAAGGAAGGAGGGGGGATTAGGTAGGGAAGGAGGGGGAAAACTGACTGGTGTGACTGGCAGAAGGAGCCACTGCCACCATTGCACCTGCCCACCCTGCCGCACACACACACACTGTCTGACTGAGTGACCCCTTCCCGTCATTTTTCGACCGTGACTTCCTCTTCTCCCTCCTTCCCTCCACCCAAATCCAATCTCGACATCAACCTGTAACGGGAACGTACGTAGCGAATCGATTTCTCCACGACCTTCCTTTCGGGCCACACGACGACACTCCAAACCGGCGACGATTCGAACGAGTCTTTTTTAAATACAACAGAAAAGTCGTATCTTTTCTTCCGTCGTCTAGTTTCAGCGAGAAGTAATCACTCTCGTTGATTAGGTACGCATGCAACACTGTCACCATCACCGCACGCATCAACACCCGATTTGCATTCGCTGTCAAATCACCAAAACATCCCCCATCGCTTCCTCCTGCTTCCGCTGCTGCTTCTGATACCGCAACGACTTGTGCATCTCCTTCTACACCGATACCGACGATCCATCTGGACGTGGACGACTTGAGACCGCACGGCGAACACAATCGACAAGGCTACTTCCCGTTCTTTGTCCTTGACTGCCTGCTTCCCCAGTCCGTCGATCGGTGTATCACTGCATCGACTGCCTCGTTTTCTTCTCGCAGTTTCCGCCCGCAGGAGGAGATTGCAATAAAGTCCAGGTCGTCGTGAAAAGCAGCAGCCGCGGTAGCAGAGAGAGCGACCCATCTGCTCCGTCCCAAGCAGCCCACCGAACGAACCCAACCAAAAAAAGCCCACCACCGCCGACCGCTTTCGCTGACTTTTGCCCCTCACAACAACAGACACCACAGAGCAATCGCGCTTCTGCGACCGATCATCTTCTTTAGATACCCCACAACCACACACAACCGCCGTCAACATGGCCCTCAAGAGAATTAACAAGGAGCTCACTGACCTCGGCCGGTACGTTTATTTCCTCTCATCCAAGCCTTGCCGCCCACCGTCGTCACCGCAAGCTTTTGTCGCAGCCCGAGACGTCAGGTGGGGCCATGTGAAGAGCGGGGTCTTCTTCAGCGAAACCCCCTCGACTTTTCCCATCAGCTCTCGCCTGATGATGTCGATGACGATGCTGGGGATGGCGGTTGCTGTTGTACGAACGTTGGACAAAGACACCATGCTAACGTCGATGCCTTCATAGTGACCCGCCCTCTTCCTGCTCCGCCGGCCCTGTCGGCGAGGACCTGGTACGCATCCCCGATAAACGCCCGGCGATGATGCCTTGAATCATGACTCAGCAGATCATGATGATGGCCTCATCACGGGTGTGAGATAGACAAGGAATATCGTACTGACAGACGACTGCAGTTCCACTGGCAAGCGACGATTATGGGACCTGTAAGCTTTCTCCTTTCTCGGCTTCGTTGGGTGCAGGCCATCCGCACTGTCCAACACAGCTTCAGAGCATCTCCAGAACACGTACTAACAGCATCAGGGTGACTCTCCTTACTCCGGCGGCGTCTTCTTCCTTGCGATTCACTTCCCCACCGACTACCCCTTCAAGCCTCCCAAGGTCAACTTCACCACTCGCATCTACCACCCCAACATCAACTCCAACGGCAGCATCTGCTTAGATATTCTCCGTGACCAATGGAGCCCGGCGTTGACCATCTCCAAGGGTATGTCTCCGTCCCGTCTGACACCATACGCCCCTCGCTGACCCAAGTCTAGTCCTGCTCTCCATCTGCTCGATGCTGACGGACCCCAACCCTGACGACCCGCTCGTCCCCGAGATTGCACACGTCTACAAAACCGACCGTGCTAGGTACGAGGCCACCGCCCGCGAGTGGACTCGCAAGTACGCTATCTAGACGGAGTGGTAGAGGATCTGGGGTTGGACGAGTATGACGGGCGACGGCTTTCCTCTCTCTTTTCGACAGCTGGCGTACGATTAGGTCAAGGTCATTGCTCTGCGTTGCGGTTTGGGATCTCTTTCGTCACCAGCACAAAGAAGGCGTTCTGCTGCTCTTCGTCAACTCGACGAGCACGGCAGTAGAGGCTCGTCCTTCGAGAGAGGTTACGAGGAGCGGTGTGGATAGAAGACAGACCGATCAGAGTTAGCAGCACCACGTACGGGTTTATCATACGGCAAAGGCTTCATGTTTTCTACTGCATTGATGCGTGCGTTTGGTTCGACACCGACAAGAGACGACGGGCAGGCATCGCTTTACATTTGCAGTATTTAGGTTGATGTGATGTGACGTGAAGTGCTCGTGAGATGTGATGTGTAATGTTGGATATGTCCCGTCCCTTGCGTAGAGCAAACGGTGGACCGGGTGGCTATCTATGCTTCTTGATCCGCTTTCTATTACGTACCAGCTGAACCCGTAGCCGCTTCGCTGGACCGGGACGGCCAACCACGGAGACGTCGACATCCGATGCCGTGGAGATGGTAGACGTAGCGTGAGACACAACCGGCCGCGCAGGATCATGACGGATGACGGCACTTCCAGCTGAAGGTGACATGTTCTAGTCCAACTACCTTACTTACTCGTCGACCCGTGTCCAGGGCTCAAGACGGGAAGACAACGACGGCCCGTGAGATGAAGCACAACTACGGCCGCGTCCTTGATCAAAGACCAGCCCGTCCGTGTCTATTTTCCCAGTCACGGCTCGTCCTTCCGGGAATCTGGATCGAGTCTAGGTATCCGAGGGTTCGGTTAGATATTAATCACATCACAAAAGGTATCGAGGTCACAACCATGCCATGCGTTCTACAGTCTCTGCGGCAAGAAGAAGAGGAGGAGGAAGTTCGTTCTAGACCTGGGAGCTGCCCGGATCTCGAGGCCCCGGTTCCATGCAGCCCTTCTTCCCCGGGGCTCCGGCTCCGAGAAGGGAAGGGACGCGGGTTAGACGATCCGGAGAGGTTTGCCGGCGGGTTTCTGGGAAGATCAAAGCGGGGAGAGATCTGGATCTGGATCTGATGGGGTTGGAGGAGAGAGAGTCATGGATGTGATATGCATATTCAGCGAATTCGAGATGTGGAAGGAACTCGCCGGGCTCGAGTCCTAGCGAGGGCGTTGCGGGAGACGGAGGCTTCAAGGATGATCGGAGACGCCGTCCTACTCGAGATCGCGATAAGGGGACCTCGCGTTTGCATGCACGGCTGGCCTGTTGGACAGGGTTCTTTCCTCAACCGGGCGTCTCCCAGATATGGGCCTCTCTGCGTTGCTCCAACGATGTCCAGAATGACGCAGCGCGGCGGGATGGCCGTGGTGCTTGGATCACCGCTGCGAGTGGGAGGTCGAGAGAGATCAGGTCAAACGAAACGTGTGAGGGGACACGAGGGACGGTTGGACGAGAAAGAGCGTTTAGTAGCCGGAAAGGGGAGCAACGAGGATCGGCCTTTGCGCATGCAAAAGATGGGATGAGGGACCGTACCTAGTAGACGGGACCTCACGACTCGAGATGTAGAAGCGTGGTGAACGTCGCCGCAGCGGGAATATGAGGCTCTGCGCGGCACGTGGTTTGTTTGGGGTGTGGGTTGGAGGGAGTTACTCGAATGGGCGGTGGATGCGAGCGGGTGCACGTTGGCGGCAATGAGACGGGAATCTGTGCTCTGTTGTCGATAACAGAAGAAGAAGGGAATTCGATGCGTTTGGAGGGTGGGTAGGGTAGAAAGGACAATGCCTCGTTTTGAAACTGTGCTGGTTGTTTGATTAGAGGTTCATGCTCGGCGGGATATCGGGAGCAGTCGTCCGTGGCAGGCGACGAAAGGCCGGTGAGGAAGCCGTGATCCGGATAGCTGTGCCGTTTAGATAGACGTTGTAGGAGCGTGGTGTTTTGATGGTGGACCATTTGATGGATAAGGAGAGGCAGGGGTTGGCGTCGTAGTGCCTCAGTTGCGTGGAGCGTTCGGGCGACGGCAGTCGAGAATGAGATGAAGACGACGAACGAGTTGTAGAGATAAGGTTGATAAGGTTGGCGCTTCAGGCTTGTCAAGTTGCGGCAAATGGAATGAAGCAAAGTGCTGGTATTCAAACGTAGCCAAGCCTGTATCAGATTGATTGTTGAGGCTGAAGGATGGCAAGTCTGTTTAGTGGGGGATCTTCTAGAAAGACCACACGCCGACGTTGAGTTCATGATGACTTGCAGTTGTGCTCAAAGGGCGGGCCAGCAGGCGGTTGAGCGGATACCGAGAATCTGGCCGATGTTTTGCTTTGATTGGCGGATAGGAACTGCGTCTTGTGTGTTTGTAATGCAGATGCCGGCTTCAGTTGCATGCCGCGGGATCATCCTGACCACGACCGACGTTTTAGGCGCCGAAGCAAGATGCCAGGAGGCGATGTCCCAACAGGACTGATTAAAGACTTGTTGGCGACCCCTTTAACAGGAGGTGTCTCGATGGGTTTGAGCTAAGGGCACGCGATAGTCGATTCTAGGCACGAGCAGTGGTGGCGAGCGAACCATGATGAAATTTCGGTCAACGTGGACGATCTGCGCTGGCAAGTGAAAAGAAGGGGCATGGCGGCTTCAGATATGAACTGATTCTTGCGTCCTCTGCCGGGTCGAGCTGCGTGCAAGTGAATGATCTCCGCCGGGGTGCTGTAGTGGTTGACGAGGGTTCAGGTCCGTGAGAATGGGACGGGAGGCAGAGCCAGAGGTTTGGCAATCAGCCGCGCGGCGATGGGCAAGTGTGATTGAGCATCTGGCTGCGCGGCGGTTCAAGTCGAGTCGAGGCGAGGGATCCCAGCCAATGAGGATGCTAAGAATATTCCGGCGGCAGTTGGAGGGCGGACGGGAGGGCGGCAAGGCGAGGAGTGGATGGCGGAAACGGGGTGGTGTGCGTTGTTGAAGAGGATGGTTTGTGAGACGGGAGTTGACAGGGGCAGACGAGGCCCAATGAAGGCATTCCCAGTCCAGACCGCTGAGTAACCAGCAGAGCAGCTCAGCAGAAGGAGCAGCAGTTGACAGGAAAAATGGTAGTGGCAGAGAGTGGCAGAGAGTGCCAGTGACAGCCACAGAAGAAGGCACCCTTTTGTGAAATGCGAATCTCGAGTTGTGTCAGAGCATCCCTGGCGAAACAAGCTGCGACGCGGGCTCAAGCGACGAATCCAAACGCACGCCCCTCTTTGTGCATATCGGAGGCCATCTGGCCAATCAGCCAAGGCAAAATGGACGGCTGCCAAGGGTACGTATCGCATTCTGAACCTCGACCCTGTCCTGTTTTGGGCTGGGTGGACGCGCACTTCTCGCAGGTCACTGGCCGTTTGCTGGTACCGCGTGGTGGTTGGCTCGGTCTTGGTGTGTCTCGAGGTTGCAACTGGGTGGTTTTGGGGTTGTAGGGCAAAGGGATTATGGCCTCATTACCCACATGTGCTGCGGGAGAAGCAGCCTTGTTCCAAACGTGGGCCAAACGGCGGCGAGGCGTAGGCGACTCTGGTGGTGAAGCCGGGGGCTGGTCGTTGATGCGTTGCGTTGGAATGTGGTCACTGGCCAGTGATATCACTGACAATGTCGAAATAGGAGGCGGTGGAAGTATTGCCCGGATTCGTGTTCTTGTCGTGGCACCTGGCCTGGGAATGGCATCTTCGGAATCGTAATGAGGTGGAGAGTAATTATTCGGTATGATCCGTGGTCGTGATAGAGTCGAGACTTGGCTTTCGTGACGATAAATTAGCTGCTGGCAACTGCGGCCGAGGGCGCGTGGGGTGGGTTTCGACGAGGCAAATGACGATCGTGATTGGACACGAAGAGACTGCGGCTGTCGGAATAGGCTTCTCTGGATATTAACCTGTGGGCGCGTTGTGGCTTCCAGGCCGGCCCAACGGCCTTGTGTCCCAGGAACGGCAACGAGAAGCAGGTCCACAAAAGGAGCGCAGCGCGTGGTGGGACGGGGATGATGGATCGTGACTTGACATGTGCAGTGATACTAGGATGCCTGTCGGCCGTCCAAAAGATGTCGGTCCAGGGATGAGTAAAAAGAGGCGAGAGAAAAGCCAAGACTTGGAAAACGACCAAGATATCCAGTGGGCTTCGTTCCTGCGGACCGGGTTCTGCGGTTGTGGTGTTTCTGTGCCGGGAGTTGGGCCCATTGACGCCGCGAATCTCCCCATGACCTGCCCACTTGCTGAATTGCGTCGTCTTTTTCAACTGAGATAGGTAAGGCACTATGGCGAGGTGATGTGTGATGTTTTGTGCTTTGTTGAAGATAGGTTTAACTCCCTCTTGGCATGCGCTCACTTGCTACCAAAAGTGACGCCGTCGAGAAGCCACTTCCTTCGCAACAAGGGAAAGAGCGAACGGCAATTGAGAGTTGCGACTTCCCTCCAACTGTGCTGAAGAATTGGAGGAAGGCGCCAGGCACATCTCTCTTCTCATTCGTCAGGTGAGCCTCGAGACCCACAATAGTAAGCGTAATCCGGCCCCTGAGCTGAGGCTCTTGGTGGTGCTTGGCATCCCTGCTCTGGGATCATGCTCAGATGTTTTTCTTTCTTACTTCTCTTTTTTGTGCTATATCGCTTCTCTTCTGGTGACATTCTTGCTGAATTCTCGCTGTCCGTCCGTCCCTTTTTTTCGCCGGCCGAGTGACGGCAGTCCCGTCAGCAGTCAGCCATCTCGAATGTGTCAGGCACCTAGCACATCGTATCCGCGTACCTTTCATACCCGACTGCAGATACTCCTGCTAAGAGGTCTGTTCTCTGCTAAGGCCTACCGCAACCAGGGCCGTTACGTAGTATTCGAGCCTCGTCTTCGTCAGTTTATCCTGTCGTCGTCGTCGCCCGTCTCCGTCTTCCCTTCTCCGTGCCCATTTAATCGTTCAACACACGCCTCTTCCCGAGCCCCCTTTTCCCACCCCCGTCCACTCTGA